TATTCTGTTGTCTCTGAGTGAATACATAACGGTTACATGATCTCTGCATTAAAAAGACCCGATCTTCTGGTTTAACCAACCCCGATCCATGAGGCGGATTTCATATTTCCTATGGAATCCCACGCCTTACGGCTCATTAAAATGTAAGAACCTCATTTTTCCCTTACAGCTGAGTCCCATTCTGTCCCGCTCTGAACTTGAGACAGTTCTCCACACCTTCATCTCTTCACGCTTAGACTACTGTAACTCTCTTTTCACGTGTCTGAGCAGAACCTCCCTGAACCGTCTACAGGTGGTTCAGAACGCCTGTGCTCGGCTTCTGACCAAGTCCTCCAAACACACCCACATCATCCCGATTCATGAAAAAAAAACACTAAAACTGAGTTATTTTCTAGAAAAGACTTTTTTTTTTGCCTGGGGTGTTTAGTACAAATCAGTCTTGATTATGTTATGAAATATCTAAACTTTAGAATTTTTTGCATTTATAGTTTTTACATAGCAACAGATTTAAAATTTACTATACACTCGAGCCATTAGAGGACAAAAACGTCCCATTGACTTTAATGCAAACCAGTTTTTGATCCTGTATCATCTGCAACAAATAATCATGCTTTCTGTGATGTTATGGTTTCATTTTGGACAAAAGTAGAATTCAGTCATGTCTCCATATGTTGCCCAGGCGAGAAAGTTTACACATTTCTTTAGATCTTCTGCTGTTTTTATTGAAGTCAAAAGGCCAACCTGACCTCTGATAAGTAAATAAAACACAGTTTGACTCTCCTACTGAACTTCAAAGTGTAGAAAACAAAAACAATTAGTATGTTTATGCACCTGCCACATTCAAACTGCTTGTAGTCTGGTTATCTGGTCATTTCACTTCTGTGAAAGCCACGGAGCTAAATGAAGAGGCATCTCTCTGTGGAACAAGTTCTGGATCAGCTCCTGCAGCCTGATACTCCTGGAGAAAATGAGGAGAGTGAAACATCTTCAGTGGACTTTGAGGTGGAGTCAGACCATTCTGTTTCCTTGACTTCTTCTCCTGACCTGTCCAGTGAAAGAGAAGGGAGGACAACGGATCCTGCTCCAGGATGGATTTCTAAAAGTGGGCAAGTCTGGTTTCCTACTAACGCAGAAACTTCCCACTATGTTCCTGCTGCAAGATGTTTGAATCCTGGGCCAACACGTTACACCATCACACGTATTTACGATGTGGTATCCTCCTTTGATTTATTCTTTACTCCAGAAATGACTGAAATCATTGTCAACATGACAAATCTAAATGGAAGACGTGTGGTGAAGAACTGGTGGGATATTGATGACATCGCAGTGAGAGCATACATTGGGCTCCTGATTTTGGCTGGTGTGTACCAGTCCAAAGGGGAATCCACCTGCAGCCTTTGGGATGACCACTGTGGACGTGCAATCTTCCTGGCCACCATGAGTCACACCAAATTCAAGATGATCAACTCCACCCTCCGGTTTGATGATGAGCTGAACAGGCCTTCCCGTCTCAGGCAGGACAAGCTGGCCCCTATCCACTCGATTTGGGACATGTGGACCCATCGCCTCCAAATGCTTTTCAACACTGGGTTAGATGTGTGTGCTGATGAGCAGCTTGTCCCTTTCAGAGGCAGGTGCAAGTTTCGCCAACATATGCCAAGTAAACCAGCAAAGTACGGATTTAAACTCTGGGTCACTGCTGATGTTGCCACTTCCTATGCCTGCAAGTGTCAGGTTAACACAGGGAAAGCTGCTGGTGCTTCACTGGAGCTGCTTATCCATCAGGCAGTTAGGAAGCTAAACTCCCTCCCGGCTCTCCCACCTCTCCTCTCTCTTCCCCCACAGTCTCTCTGAACTTGGTTACTGTTTTTATACTAAATGTTTATTTTCTATCTAGCGAGAGTTTGAGAGTAATGTAATTTCATTTCTCTGTATGTTCTGTACATGCGGCAGAAGCGACAATTAAACTGACTTTACTTTGGTGAGGCTGCAGAGGTCGGCCAGGGAAAACGTGTCATTTTGGAGATGACCGAAGAGCTCCAAGGAGTCCCTTCACATGCATGCATTCACACTTCTGCCCTTTCATAACAAACTGAACTACAAAGAGTTTGGATGTACCTGAGCTCCAGCCAGGTGCATAAACATATTGTTTTTGTTTTCTACCCTTTGATGTTCAGTAGGAGAGTGAAACTGTGTTTTGTTTACATGCTGAGCTTCTGACTTCAATAAAAACAGCAGAAGATCTATAGAAATGTGTAAACTTTCTCGCCTGGGCAGCATATGAAGAAATGACTGAATTTGGTGGTGAACAGTAAAAATCATAAATTTGACTACTTTTGTCCAAAATGAAACCATTACATCACAGAAAGCATGAATATTCAGGGGTGGACATTAACTTAAAAACCAACCGGACCGGTAACTCTGAAAATTTACCGGCCCCGCTAAGAATCTACCGGCCCAACAGGTCAGCTGCCAAAACAACAACTGAACCATTTTAAATGTAATAAACCTTTATTTTGTACTCATTCACAAACACAGTAAACTTTTCTGTTAGAGCTGTAGCGACGCATCGATGACGTCGACGGCTCGATTCTAAGAATTTGTCGATGTCCGATCCGGTAGTCGACGCACCACGCCCGCTTGTCGCATCCCCAGGAGTTTGTAAATAGAGGTGGAAACTATGGTGTCAGGTTTCCGCCAAAACCTGTGCAAGCGTAGCCAAAACCCGTGCACGCGTCCACATCGCGCGTGCGAACGGAACTCGCGCGTGGAGGTTAGAACCTCACGAGTGAAAATATACATGGCGAGGAGGTCATTTGTACACTGAGAGGGAGCAAACTGTGTCTGTGAGCGCACAAGGACACAAGGACGCAAGTGACAAACCTGCGTGCACGCATTGGCCAACGAGCACACGGTAGAGGAAAACATGCGCGCGGCAGCCTTACTGCGCGTGTGGCAGCCTTTCTGCACGCTTGGTTTCTGATTCTGCTCGCTCGGCTGTTGGGAGTTTTGGCACTCTGGAGGCGTGGAAGAATTAAAGTGCCAGAAATTGAGCACTTGAACTTTCAATTTGAGAGCAGAATTTCATATCAAGAGACCAACTTTTTAATTTCAGAAAAAGATTTTATATGATTGCGCTCAAAACTTGGAATGCTTGCGCTCAAAATGTCTGCTCTCTTTCAAATTCACTCTGTTCTCCTTCAAATCTTTGTTTCTGCGCTCAGATTTAACCTTCTTACACTGGTATTGTCTTCTCGCGTGACAGCTTTTTCTCTGCACGGATCAAAACTCCTCCCTCAAGTCTGTCCCCTGCTCTCACGGATCTTGTCTGCTCTCGCTCAAAACTTAGAAGTACAATCTCCTAGCAACCGCTCAGCCAATAGAAAGACTTGTGGGACTGGGCGGGAACAAACCTCTTTGGGGTGCGCTCGTTTTGACGCTCTGTGGATTTTCCTGTGTGGCTGTCGCATCTGCGCACTAACAGCCTGGCTAATACCCGCCCTGATCTGGAGCGGGAGTTTCACCTGCACCAGCAAAATGGACCAGAACCAACAAGAAGCTCAAGTAAGTTATTTTTCAAGGCTACTAGCTGCAGTTTATTCCATAAAATTGTTTTGTTATGCTACTTTTTACGACTCCTCGCATTTAATATTACAACAGGGGCACAGCTAGGTGGATTAGGTTATTCACGATAGCTACAACTTTTATAAAATGGCCTCACCAGATTTGAGTTTTACCCTAACATATCACTCGTCCCCAATGCTAGCTCTGGACCTAGTGTAGATGTTTTTTGTTTAGTATTCCCACCTTCGTTTTTAATGGTTAGCTCTTTGGACATTACAGTAGTTATTCGTTAGCGTTTACTCCATGAACATTGTTTCCTCGTCTAACTGCTGACTATCAAAATGTGTTTCATCCATCGACATAAATATATCACAATGTTTCATCACAATGTTTTTCTCGCGCTGTAATGAACAAAATGGGTCATCAAAGTAGGAGAATGTAATTAAAAAGTAAAACTCGTTATATTTGAACGATGGAAATTTTTGACCAAAGCCTAGGAGAAAACCGTTTTAATAGGGAAACACATTTTGACACAACACCTGCCTTGACTGGCGCATCAGCTAGCTTTCAATCTGTTGGTAGGTTTCTGAAAATAATAATGCTAGGTTAAGTGAGTGTAATCCAGTAGTCATTTCCCCAACAAAATAACAATTTCTATTTTTGCTCAATTCCTGCCTCCTGCCATTTCATTTTGCACTCGCATTATTTCTTTTTGTAATCCTGTCAAACCTAGCCGCTGGTCTTTAAACATAATGATCCTAACTTATTAATACTGAGTCTGGGGTTACAAAAGCAGTAACTAAACAAAAACAGTTTCTGTTTTTAAATCTCAGCAATGAGTAAGGTTGTATTTCTGGTGTAAGCGAACTAACATTTGTTTTCTGTGAAATGCGCGAAATGTTGTATTACACAGTCTGTGGTACCATGATGCAGCACAATTCACTGTTGCATGTTACACCAAGGATGATGTAGAGGAAGATGAATGTAATGGCTGAGGTGGAGGACCTGTAATGACACCAGAAAATAAGAAAATGTGTAAAAGCTTTATTAAAAGTTTAGTCCTGAAATTCTCATGGTAATCCAGGGAAGCAGGTTGGTGCATGGTCAGGGAACAGGCGTGGGTCAGGGCCAGATAAACAGCAGGTTCCATCCCAGCTCCAACCAGAGAGTGCTGCTGTTGTGTCCTTGGGCCAGTGTTCAGCAGGCCCGCCTCTTGTCAGTGTGCCCCAGGGCAGCTGTAGCTACTATCTGGCTTATCACCACCATAAGCATGTGAAAAGGGTGTGACTGTTGTGTAAAGTGCTTTGCAGGCCTTGGACTTGATAAATTTCAATACATGTGCAAGCCAATTACAATTTTTTTTCCATTTGTACTGTTTCTCATTTGCTGTATAACCAAATACAACTTTTTCTGTGTTTTTTGTTTTATTTCTTTAGACTGGTTCCACCCGAGAAGTTACGAGAAACCTTATGGATTTACTGAATGCTCATCTACAAGCAGCGGGCCCGCAACACCAACTGTGCCACAGCGCACAACACCAGCGACAACACCTCAACAGACTATCCCTCAGTCTGTCAAGGTAAGTTAAGTGTAGAAATGTAAATATTTGACATCTGTATTGGTCTATTCAGTGGTTAGAAATTAAATTATTCCAATGATGCTTTGTTATTCATCTTAGAAATAGGCTTTCTACAATTGACTGTATTTATTTTTTTACATAGTGAAATTAAATTCTGAATTCTGAAATAATGTAAGCAGTGTTGTATAGGCTATAATTAGGGCTGGGCAATATATAGATATTTTAAAATTATCAATATAATTTAAAACGAGAAACAAGATGACTTTGTATTGATATAACTATTCAAGCCTCATAAGCTAGCAACTAGCTTGCTCCGTCTGTAAGCGGTCATTTCATGTATTCTCACAAATCTGCTCAATCAGAAAACCTCTGGGTCAAAGTTCTGCCCCAAACTTTGCATTTGGCTTCATGGTTTTTAATTATTTGGGGATATTCGTTCATGTTTCATCAAGCCTGTTCACCGTGGTTACCAACAGAGTTCTGTTTACCCCTCCCTCTCTCGTGTAATTGGGAAACCACTACAGAGAGCCGGAGTGGCCAAATTACCTCAAACATGTTGTAATGGTTTCAACAGGAAGCGTTAGGGTTAACATTTAATTTTGAAGGTGAGTTCAGCGCTAAAAGTTTTCTGGTTCCGGTTTTTGATGTTTTGCTATGGTCGGGGCTCAGCCGCGTGAGTTCGGAATAGAACGGGTGGTTTCTTGTTCACATGTGATTCCCAGGACTTCTCAGGAATGCGGAAATCCCCGAGCATGTGGGTGGCGTTAAAGACGCGCGGAAGAAGTCTGCGATGTCTGCCTATGCTAAACAATAATTCCTCATCAAACCGCTGCACCAACACACACTGCGCTTCTCTAATAATCTGCTCTCCTGTAATCCTTCCTACTTCAGCGCTGTAGTGTCCTCCGCTGCAGACGTGTCCTTATAACCGCTGCTACACACACACACACTGCTGTCCTCCTCTGCTGCGGAGCGGGAGACAGCAGCTCAGTGCTTCATGTGGGCTAAACAGCAACAAGGATGAAAAGGAAACCCCCCGGTGTTTGATCCAACTTCCCAGTCGGAGACGGTAGGCGTGAGTTTCAGCTGCCAATCAGTCCATAGTGTCTGCTCGGCACCAGCCGGACCTCCGAGGGAAGTAGTCTGAAAAAAGAAGTCTCCTCAGAACGAAATACACACATGTGAGCCATATGTGAACAAAACATTTGGTTCCGAACGCGTCCATGCCGACCCAGATGTGAAAGCGGCTTAAGTGAGGGAAAATACTAATATGGGACAACTGTGGGAATAAGGAGTAAAATAGTTTAGTTTTGAAAATAGTTTCCAGCTCAAAACAGGAGACTTGACAGGTGTGATCCTGGAATTGTGGATGAAGTCTGTCAGTGAAGCTCTTGGGATCACAGCTCCACCTCTCAGTTCAGACTCCACAGAGCTCCTAGTGTGTGAGTTCTTGTTCTCTTCTGTACATGCGGATCACTTTTAATGTTAACGCAGGAGAGCGTTTGCTGTTGTATTTCAGTTATAATGTGAATAACCACACAAAAAATTAAATTTACTCAAAAAGTCTGAATTGATTTTTAAGACCTGCAGTGTGAACGTAGCCTTAAGCCTGATTCATGCTACTCCGTCTGCGTCAGTGCGGAGACACGCAACGTCCTTGCGGGCCTGCCGGAGAGCTCCGCAAGGAATGATGGAGTCGAGCTCTCTTTTCTAAACATCCGTCAGTCGAGACGGACAACGCAAGCTTGTGATTGGTCAGGACGCGGCTGTCGTCTACACCACCGGCATTACGCCCTCAAAAACATAAAGATAGCCGAGGATAACAAGCGGCGGACACGGAGAAGCTTGAAGAATACCTCGCGAAAAAACTCTAAAAACATGAACGTTTAGTTCCCCCGTGACTGGAGGAGTGAAAAGATGCGCAGCAAGCGTTTTATTTGTGGATGGAAATGACAGGAAACGTGGGTTTAGAGGTTGCGAGCGCATGAAGAGGTGGAGGAGGATGAGAGACAAATATGTCAGTGTTAAAAGTCTCTTATATACACAAAAAACACAATATAAACACACTATCTTGGACCGATACATGACAGGATACCACAGAACAGCGCTACGCCCTCTGCTGTCCTGCCGGGGAATTGCTTTGCAACACTCTCCAGGAGACGGAGAAGTATGAGAGCAAAACGCTTCCGTCAATCCGTGCGTGTCTGTCCCTTGCGGAGCTGACGGAGAAGCATGAACCAGGCTTTAGACAGCATGTTTCTATCTACATAAGCCGTACCATAGACATCATTGGCTGCTGGAGAGTAACTGCTTCACCGCCATATTGAGTAGGTTTCTAACTCCAAAACCCAATTTGAATCCAGTCATTGGAGCAACTATGCGTGTTTTTGTGCAGCTCACAGTTCCAACAACCAGCAGTTACATCTGCCTGTAAGCTTTAATAAAGTTATATAAAAATAAAAAACCGTTACGTCACGATCTCTTCGCTTTCTACAGGAAGTTTAAAAAATGTGTTCAATAAAGATAGAAACACAAACATGAAGCTAAATGAGGAGCTCTATGAACATACTGAACGCCGCTTTAAAAATACTGAATGTGAAATATGGCATTTCTCTACTGCTATCTGATGAAAGGGAGTCCAATGTGCTTGTTGTCATTTAGCAGGAGGTTGAACATCTGACAAGGTAGTTAGCCCGTTAAAAAATTGCGCTACAACACTCCCAGTGCTTTTTTTGTGGCCTTTACGGCTATTCATTGGTAGGCTCATCATGGAACACAAAAATGTAGCTTGTTTGTTATGATTTAGGTACGTACTGCCCCCTAGTGGCAGAAAACTACAGACTGTCGCTTACAGAAATAGCATAAAATGGCCAGGGATGCACTTCAATATATATTCTCTTCTACGGTTTTAAAATTTTGAAATAATTATCAATCGATCAATAAGATTTTTTAAAATTAATATGCTTTTATTCATCAACCAGCCCTAAAACCTACTAAAGGTTAAAAATTTTAAATTGCAAACTGTACTTAATTACGGTGATGCAAGTAAATGACAATTACACCCCTGCAAAATAGTAAAAGCTCTAAATCAAAACCATTTTGAATTATTGTTATTCTTGTCCCTGCTATTTGTAAGTTTTTTTTTAATCTAATTTTGGCATATAGTAATCCTGCACAACCCTGTATACACAAAATAAATGTGATAATTTGGTTTCTATTAAAATTTAGGAAATTTTGCTTATTTATTGACAAATTGCAGCTCAATATAGAAACATTATCATTGTTCTCTTGTTGTAATGTCAGGATTTTCAAGAGCCAGACATCGACTGGGATGTTGCAGCAGAGTACAGCCCAGATGTGGACGGTGCTGTTGTGGTCCCGGAGTTCGACAGTCCCGTCACTGAAGAGCAGCATGCTGAACTGCAGTTGCTCCTGGCACAAAATTGGGAGCGTTCAAACACTAAGGAACTTTATCTATTGTGCAGAGAATATGTTAATGCTGCTTTGTCAGATAAATGTGTACTTGAAATAAAAAATCAAGAGATCAGTTCCAGTGCTTTTTTTTTAATGTTACAAAAGAAATACATAACATGTATTTAAAATGGCAATAGGCCTAACTTTATTGATTCATGTAACAATGTCGCTTTCTAGCCCCAAAACATTACATTATTTAACAAAACAATTTGTCTTTTTGGATTCAAAGTTAAATTTGAACCATTATACAGTAACCTGAACGCAGAACAGTGGCCATCTTGTTTTCGCTTAATGTCTGCTAAAATCAAATCCATCACAGACTGCCTGAGTAAGCTGACTTTCAAAGTCAGTGTGTGTAGTAACGTGCCGTGTAGGTAAGGTGATTTCAACAGCACATGCATTAACAGTAGGAAAGCACAAAGTGTGGTCCATACCGGGTGGTACCGTCGTGATCAACATTTACAGTTATCTTGTAAAATTCTCTTTCTTTGTTAGTGGCACATGTGCCTGGCCTGAAACCCACTGAAAAAATCCTTGCACTGACAACTGCTTTGCTCCACAGCCATTTGATGGGCTCCCATCTTGGTCATCTGTTCCTGAAGGGTGAAAAAAAAAATCTGTGTGTCACTAGCATAATTGATTACCTCTCTGTAATTAGCCAGTTACTTTATTGTCTAATTAAGGTGTAATGGCTAAATCAGTTTCAAAACAAATATATTTATAATTTATTTTTAAAATTTTTTTCTTTGATGGGGGATTGGGTGAAACACAATGGTCTCTCTGACACTTAAAAATGTTCTCAATCAATTTTTATTTATGTAACACCTTCCACTGCCTTTACAGGAGCCCAAGGCGCCGAACATAACAATTTTGAAAAGAGCTAAGCATTATGAGCAGTAAAAGTGGAATAATCCTGCATGGTTCTGTGGCTACCTCCTCCTTCCAGGTTTTGCAAGAGGTCCTGCAAAAAGTTGATCATGTCCACTTCCTTTGTGTCTTACTCACCCATTGTCACTGTACTGAGGAGCCAGTGCCTCCACAACGAAGTGTGCATCCACCTACAAAAGACGTTTTTAAAAATACTGTGAATTAAAAAGATAAAACTGTTAGGGCTGCAGCTATCAAGTAGGTAATGGACTATTCTTATGATTACTTAAGAACTCAAATAAATACACGACATTTTTCAGTTATACAAATTTTACTTCTGCTTATCCTGCAGAGCTAAATTAATATAAGAAAATGAAGATGTATACCACTAAAAAATATGTAAAACTTCATTGTCATGATATTAGAATAAAAAATACATCTGATAGCTTCCTTAAAGAAAACTTAAAATTGCTGTCTGTAAAAAACTGATAGCTGTAAAAAATAAATTGGGGCAAACAATGTTAAACAAACAGATTCTTGTACTTGTGAATCGATTTGATTCTTAGTATTTTTATAAGAATCGATTAGAACTGTTGATGGAACAAAAACAGCTTCAGCTTCTCTGCATTTCCTATACGTTTTTTTAATGGACATATTTTTTTTGCAGAGGCCTAAAGAATTTGTACTTACCTATTTAAGGTTCCCAGGAAGAAAGAGGGGCTGAGGTGCCTGGTGGTGTTGTGGCAACAGCTCATCCAAACCATAGATGGCCAGTCCTTCTCTAAGCTGACTTAGCATCGGTTTGAGTCTCATCACTGGATGCAAACTGATGGCCCTAGTAAAAAGAATAATGAACTTGTAATAACTCATTTTTAAAAATTGCATGACTTGTTTAATGCTACATTAACATAGCCTACTCAATGAAGGCCTTTTTGTAATCGCTGTTAATTGGACCGGTGTAGCCACATGCTACAATGGCATCAGAAAGGTCTGTCAGTGCGTCTTCTTCGGCACGTTCCACCTTCAAACAGAAACACTTGTTAGTGCAATTTACAGAAAATAAATTATTCTGTTTAATTTACCTCCTGAATCAGGTTCTGGATTGCCGTATCAGTCACCTCTGGCACATCTTCTTTTGTTATTTGTCCATGACGCAAGAAATGATAGGACCAAGTAGAAAAGAAATTCGGTGCTGGTCCTCCTTGAACCACGCTGGTGGCAATGATCTCCCCACAGATCCTGAACACAAAACAAGCCAAGTTACACTGCAGAGCAGCATCATACTGTACATACCTGTATCTGTTTTCCTGGTAGTAAGAGATACTATATTTGGGGGGTTTGCCTTTGCATGAAACTCCTTCAAATAAGTTCAACTCAAGGCCTCGCATCATTTCTATTGGAAAAAAAGATATGACAGTTTGCCGTTTTCAACTATATTCAAAGTTGGTATGTTGACATTAGCAAGGAATACATACCAGTTAGGAACTCTCGGCGTAGTGCTCCTTCATCAATGCCTTGCTCTCCAATAAAGGAAACACTTAGCTGGTTTTTGGGGGAAGCCTGCTTCTGTCTGGCCCGCTGTTTCAGACCTTTCTGGTAAAGGTCGACCCTTGTCACATTAATGTTAAAGGTTTTAGTGTTGTCAACTCTTTCTTGTAGGAACTTCAGGATGTCTGATAAGCTATCGACAACAACATTGTGTTTATTATTATTTATTTTAAAAACCTACACATTAACACAAATGTTTGTAAAAATTCAAACCAGCTGAAGTGCTTGGAAGAGTCATCCACATCCAGTATGATGCTGTTCAGATGTGGGGGAAAAAAAAAAGATTAAACTCTCATAACATATTGTGTACAACGTGCATGGGTAAAAACATGCACCTGTCCTCTTCCTCCTCTTCACCACAAAAGCTGGCATGACTCCTGAGTAAATTCTTTATCACACAATGGACAGGAAACCTATTAAAGACATTTTTTTACATCAGTGACCAACAATCAGTGTTAAGTAAACAATAATGATTAACATGAAATGTAAAAATATTCTGTATATTGCTTACGTGCATGTTTTAAGTTTGATTTAAAGGGATATTCCACCCTAAGTGAAAATGTGTCTACTGTCTAAATTGGCTCCTGCAAATGTGTTACTTCTTACTTTTCATTTGCAGTCAACATGATTATTGAGCTCAACAGGAATAATTGGTATCATAATTTAGTAATTGTACAGTTTTGCACACAAAATGCTACTACCTCCCATTAACTTACATGGTTTATTCTCATCTAAAGCAGACAGACTGCTGGCAGATAAGAATTACTGCGCTGGTTAAAACAATCCTTTTTCATTCACTTATCCAACTCTGGGGAATACGGCACTAGAAAACATTTCTGGATCTTTCCCTGACAGATATCTAGCCCCTCATAACTTGATCCCAGCTCCTGGATGAAACACCAGACATTTTATTCCATGTAGGACCCTAATCCACCTAGCTATGTGCCCCTGTTGTAATATTAAATGCGAGGAGTCGTAAAAAGTAGCATAACAAAACAATTTTATGGAATAAACTGCAGCTAGTAGCCTTGAAAAATAACTTACTTGAGCGTCTTGTTGGTTCTGGTCCATTTTACTGGTGCAGGTGAAACTCCCGCTCCAGATCAGAGCGGGTATTAGCCAGGCTGTTAGTGCGCAGATGCGGCAGCCACACAGGAAAATCCACAGAGCGTCAAAATGAGCGCACCCCAAAGAGGTTTGTTCCCGCCCAGTCCCACAAGTCTTTCTATTGGCTGAGCGGTTGCTAGGAGATTGTACTTCTAAGTTTTGAGCGAGAGCAGACAAGATCCGTGAGAGCAGGGGACAGACTTGAGGGAGGAGTTTTGATCCGTGCAGAGAAAAAGCTGTCACGTGAGAAGACAATACCAGTGTAAGAAGGTTAAATCTGAGCGCAGATACAAAGATTTGAAGGAGAACAGAGTGAATTTGAAAGAGAGCAGACATTTTCAGCGCAAGCATTACAAGTTTTGAGAGCAATAATATAAAATCTTATTCTGAAATTAAAAAGTTGGTCTCTTGATATGAAATTCTGCTCTCAAATTGAAAGTTCAAGTGCTCAATTTCTGGCACTTTAATTCTTCCACGCCTTCAGAGTGCCAAAACTCCCAACAGCCGAGCGAGCAGAATCAGAAACCGAGCGTGCAGAAAGGCTGCCACACGCGCAGTGAGGCTGCCGCACCGAGCGCGCAGAAAGGCTGCCACACGCGCAGTGAGGCTGCCGCACCGAGCGCGCAGAAAGGCTGCCACACGCGCAGTAAGGCTGCCGCGCGCATGTTTTCCTCTGCCGTGTGCTCGTTGGCCAAAGCGTGCACGCAGGTTTGTCACTTGCGCATATCCTTGTGCGCTCACAGACACAGTTTGCTCCCTCTCAGTGTACAAATGACCTCCTCGCCATGTATATTTTCACTCGTGAGGTTCTAACCTCCACGCGCAAGTCCCGTTCGCATGCGCGATGTGGACAATACGCGTGCACAGGTTTTGGCGGAAACCTGACACCATAGAATCTGCCTGTTTTTCCTCTACATCGCCCTCTTCTCCGCCTTCACTAACATCTCTGCCAAATACCGAAGACCTGGAACAATGTTATGTTATGTTATGTTTATGTATTTAGCAGACGCTTTTGTCCAAAGCGACTTACAAGTGATAATCAGCATTTTGCCCTTGAGGCTAACAACAATAGTAACAACAACAAATTGAAATCAGTCATGGAGAGGAAGGAACAAGGTGTGGACAGTAGAGAGGGGGGACGGGTGCAGACAAGGTGCTAGTTAAGAAGATGCTCTCTGAAGAGCAGGGTCTTCAGGAGTTTCTTGAAAATAGAAAAGGAAGCCGCAGTTCTGGTAGTGTTAGGAAGGTCATTCCACATTTGTGGAACGATGCATGAGAAAAGTCTGGATTGTCCTGAGCGTGGTGTAGGCACTGCTAGCCGACAATCCTGTGATGACCGGAGCGGCCGGGCCGAGACGTAAGCCTTTGCAAGAGGATTCAGGTAGATGGGAGCCATACCATCTCTGACTTTGTATGCTAGTGTTAGCAATTTGAATTTGATGCGTGCTGCTAGTGGTAGCCAGTGGAGCTCAACGAACAGAGGGGTGACGTGTGCTCTTTTAGGCTGATTGAAGACCAGACGCGCCGCTGCGTTCTGGACCATTTGAAGAGGTTTCACAGTACAGCCTGGAAGACCAGTTAGAAGGGCATTGCAGTAATCGAGGCGGGAGATCCATCCGCTACTAGATTCCTTTCCTGTTTAGCCCGCCTTCGTCTCCCGGCAACGGACAACAAATTCCGGGGTCAAACGCGCTGCTTCGTCTCTATTGCAGATGTAGAAAATCACCGGGAGAGTTTCTTCTTTCATACAGGAGTAGGGCTGGGGTAAACGATTATTTTTAAAATGATTATTCTGACGATTATTTTATCGAATAGTCGACTATTCTAATGACTATTTAGACAATTAATCTAATGACTATTTTCCTATTGCACAGTTAATAAAAACCAAAAAATCTCTAATAAATTCCTCCAAAAAAGTGATAAATTGTTACTGTAAGAGAATAAACACTACAGGCCTCCCATTTTGTTTAACACTGCTTTTATTGTGTTGTGGTTGGTTATGTTCTGGTGACGTGTAGAACTTGGAAGTGCAGGCTGCTGCCTGAGAGGTGGTTGGAGACGGAGTGTCTCCATGCTGCTTTGTTTTGGTCACTT